CCCTCTCTCTCCCTCTCTCTCCCTCTCTCTCCCTCTCTCTCTTCCTCTCTCTCCCTCTCTTTCTCCCTCTCTCTCTCGCACAGACACACACACTGACCCTAGGCTACGTTACGTCGCGCGAGAAGCAGAGGGAGCGGGCAGCCGCAGCCATAGGTAGCCAGGAGCGGACCTGTGGGCTGTGGGGCGGCAAGGTCCGCGGCAGGAACCTGTTGCTGTGCAGTCACCACTTGGTCCGACCGGCAGGCAGCAGGAACCGAAAAGCAGCGGCGCGGCTGTCACGCGGTGCCGGGCACAGCTGCAGCTGCACGGGGCAGGACCGGGCCGCGCGCACACTCACACTGGAATAGCGCCAGATTGGCGCCTATATTTGAAATGAAACAGCTAATTATTGAGGAAGTAAAAGTGACGTGAAGTGACAGAAACTGCATACTAAAAGTATCCGTCAACACACTACGATCTTAAGTTGTCCTTCATCGGCTTCAAATCAAACTTTGTAAAAAAAACTACAACGTGCACCCCAAAAAGGCGCTGTATTCTCTCAACTTCGGATAGAGCATACTCCTAAAGCGAATACCCGAAAATTACAGCGTATGGGCGGCGGTTTTTCGACTTCTTGTTAGAAAAAAACTCTCCGGGCAGCAAGGGAGAAGCGCGACCCATGAACGGAGTGCGGTGTTTTTCGTTCCTTAACCAACTCTACCCCACCACCAAGGCGCGCCGGCAAACGGGCCCATCCCATCAGCATCAGCAAGCAGTGTTGTCCGCTGGTCACTCCGTGCGGAACCAGCGCCGCTTCTTGCGGTACCAGACCAGACGCCACAGCCAGGGCCACGGCGGCGGCGTGCTCTGTCGTCGCGACCCCCTCTCCCGCTCCTCCAAGCTCGGGGCTCTTGGCCTCGACCGGGACCCACCCAGCCCCGGCGGCGTGCCTGCAGGTGGCCGGGCCGAGGAAGAGGTCCTCCCCGATAAGGAGGAACCAGACGACTTCCGGGCTGATGCGCCGCGGCGCAGGTCAACCGGCTGCTCCTCCGGGTGGCGAGATGCGATCCGAGATCCGTGCAGGCTCGGACTGGCCCAGAGGGCTGCCGGGCAATCGCCCGGTAGGCCCTCCTCCTAGCGAGGCCCTCTGCCTCGCGAAGCGAGGCCCTCCTAGCCTGGCGTAGCGAGGCCCTGACTCTGGTACATGGTTGCTACGTGTCTGGAAGACCTTAAAAAACCAGGGAAATAAAAAACGGTCAGGGAAATCAGGGAAAGCTCAGGGAAAACGAAAAAAGTCAGGGAAATTTGTTCCGATCGGTCCTCACAACCCATTCTATTCGCTGTGTAGGTCAAAAACACATTTTGACGTCCCAGCAGGGTGATTCCTTAACAAAATTTTCGCGCTCGCTACGCTCGCGGTCTTGTTTTCCAGTCAGGCTACAAGCTCCAGCAACACGCGTAAATGCTTAGATGCGAGGTTGTTTTGCTTGCCCCTGTACTTCACCAGGAACGGTTTAAAACTTAGGGAAGCGTTAGGTTAATTCTGAGTGAAAACAACCTTTCTTCTACTTTTTCTAATTTTTTTTTGAGGGGGGGGGTGTGGTTTGAATTCTGAGGCCCCTCGCATGACGTTCCCCGGGAGGCCCTCAACCCCCCAGTCCGACCCTGGATCCGTGCGCAACTCTACCTCTCTCTCGCACGGCAGCAGGGCCGGGCCAGCGCACAGCAGGGAGCGCGAGTGCCAAGTGCCACCGCGCGCGTCGTATCGTTAGGCCCCGGAGCCACATGCCGCCGGGACAATCGACCTGCCGAGTGCGGCCCCGCCCACTTGCCGTTACACTTGGTTACTCCACCGGTACGACACTGACTCGGCGCGACCTCATCAGGCCATGCCTGCGCGCGCGCGCCGGGCCCGGCCGGGCCGCAGTCCGTTTAACACATCCTTATGTAACGGGCGTGCGCCGCCGGGCCGTGCACCAGTTACATTAGGCCACATTCCAAGGCGAGCGGTACAGCAGCAGCAGCAGCAGCGCTAACGATGCACCTCACCCGCGCACTGTGCAGCCATGGCCAGCGCAAGATGAGAGCCCACAGAGACAGGCGATATGCCAGAGGCGTTCGCGTTGTGTTCCGTAGTACATCGCACTCTGCTGCTGTAAAGGCTTTAGCCTCCGGAAAGGCATTTGTCCCTATCCGTTTCCCTCCAATTTTGCAGTCCCCGACAATAATAGCAACGCCTCTGCCCAGAAGAGCGAGGAAAACGCCCGGTACGCTGGCAAAATGCAGTTAATCGAAATAATGTGCGCTTCCATTTGGCTCATGGCGAACCTTCATAAACTGAATGCACACCAGCCCCAGCTTTTGCCGAGCCGACGGCCCGTCCCCGCCGGCTGGTCAGGGCAGGGAGGGACGGATTTAGCTTTCCCCTTTGCGAAATAACATGGAGTACCCTTCTCCGGTATACCCTCGGCCTCGGCGCACGCCGCCGGCCCGGCCCGGGGGTCCCGGTCCCGAGACGGAACCACTAAACGCTGTGGGGCCCTCGGCCCGGTCCGGCCGGTAGGAGTATAAGTTTTGACGAGCGCCTTGTTAGAGCGCGGGGGGCGTGCGGCCGGGCAGGCCGCGCTGCACATGTTGGGCTGTGCTGGGCTATGCTGCCGGCCGCCGGAGGCAGGCGCCGGTAACGCTGCCCGGGCCGGGCGTCTCCTCGCCGGGTACAGTAACGCCATAATAAAGGCCTCATTGCGAGGGAAGCGTATATAGAAAAATAAAACCACAAAAAAGGCGCGCGCCACAAACCCCCGCTCTCGCCCCGCGCACAAGAACGTCCCGCGGCAGCACGCCACGAGAAGGTCATCGCTTTCGGCCGCGGGGCCGCGCAGCGACTGGCGCCTCCATGCGGCGGGGCGGGGCGGGGCGGGGCGAGGCACACCTGATTACGGCACTTTCTTCGCGCGCCCAGCGCCCTCCCTGCACCGGGGCGCGCTGACGCTCGCCCTCGCCCTCGCTCGCTCGCGGGGTGCGTCTGCCTGCCGCCGCCGCCGCTCGCCAATTTGGCGCGTAATTATCACACTCAAACGTTTCTCTCCCCCCAAAAAGATAATGATAACGTTGTCTCTCTCTCTCTGTCTGTTTCTCTCTCTGCTCCTCGGGCGGGCGCTCGAGCTGCCCTCGGCTGCCCTCCATTACCTTAACCACACAGGCAGCCACGCAGAGTGAAATTCATTTGGCGATGAGACCCCGGGAGGGAGCTCCAGCCTACCCTGCCGCCCCGCCCCGCCCCGCTCCGGCCCGACCCCACGACGCATCAGCCTCGTGATATAATAAATCTCATCTTGCCTGTTTGCTAATGATTACATTGAAGGCCGCCGGCGCCGCATCGCAGCCGGATCAAAAACTATTAAGATGAAAGTTATACGCAGCGGGCGGCAGCTGGCCCGGTCAGGCCCACTGGTCATCCAGCCGCCGCCATGATGCCGGACAACTCTTTAGGTTAATCTTGCTGGCTGCTGCCGTTG